TTTTCCTTTATTTATTTATTTTCCTTCTCGTGAGTGACAAAACCATAATTTTGGCGCCTTAAGATTTGGGGTGGTTATTGAACGCCACTCTACTGATTCCTTCGCTCACCGCCAACCATTTTCCATCCAAAATTTTCCAAACTCCAATTCTCTGCTCTGCTTTCATGTCAAATAACCATACTTCAATCATATCCCTCCTTCGAATTTCTTTATTTCTTCAATTATGCCGGGAACCATACGAGTTTCAGGTAACTTCGTCGGATTTCGTCTCTTTAATCCAAGAGTTTCAGATATATTATGCCGGTACCAAGATTTTTCATGGTTGATTTCGATTTTTTTTCAGTTCTGGAGTTCATGGACCTCCCTAGCCTATTCCCTTCCCCAATATCCGTTAAGGGTACGGAAATCAATTGCCCTCTTCGAGTCTGATTTTTCGTTTTTGAGTCTGAAACGGTTTCATCTTATTGCAGTTTCCATGGGTAAAAGACATTATGAAACCTCGGACAAAGGAGACTTCTCATTGTAATGAAATATTCCTGTCATTTGAAATGTTTATCTTCTCTCCTTGTTCTGGTTGTTGTGTTTATTATGGCTTATTTTCTTGGTTGGTGTACACAGTCCATTGACAACGCTTCGAGATGATGTGATTCTTATAGTTCAGGATGGTGAAGGGAACGAGATATCACGTGCAGGTTTGTTCTAGGAATTTCTCGTTGTATCTCAATCTGATTAATGATTTTAGCAAAATGAGGTTGATTGGGATGGTTTTGTTTTGGGGAAGGTGTTCAGGCAAAATCAATAGTTGAGAAAGGTTACTGGGATGATCATTTTCCTCTTGAAGGAGGAGGCCGCGTGCATTTGCAGTTCCAGTTTGCTCTTAGTGAAGATGATCGCAGTCGAATTCGAATGATGGTACCCTCTTCAAACCTTATTTTTCTCCAACAGTGTCTGTCACTTTATTTGCTGAAGTACAGTTAATTATGTTCATAATAGTAATCTCTTTAATTTGAGTTGTGTTATTAGAATCACAGAGATTGTTTCACTTGCACACTTCGTTTTGCATTCTTGAGATCTCTGCAACTTGAGTCACTTTCGGTACTTGATGTTGTTTCTACATTTTTTTCACAGCGAGAAACCGCTTTGAGAAGAAAACAGACTGAGCGTCAAGATAGAAATCTCAAAAGCTCTGGAAGCAGCCTTGCATCATCCTTTTATCTAAACCCTGAGTTCTCAGGTCAGATCCTGCTCTTCTTTTGAGAAAAAATAAGGGCAGAACAGAACCTGAATATTTTGTGGTTATGCAGTAGGATTTTCTAGCTGTCAAGTTTGTTTACATTGGTGTTTTCTGAAAGGTTTTTTCTTGATTTTCTGAGTGCTCCGTCTTCTCAAGATTCGCAAAAATGTCTTCTTCAAATTGGAGATCTAAGTGGTAAAGAAGCAGCTCACCAAGCTCCCTCAGCATCACCCGAAAATATCCCTGATGAGAGACCGGTTGCTGAAAACACAAACGATATTCACCTTGATCAGAATCAACAACTTTCAGTTGAGGTTTAATAAATCTCTAGTGCAATTTATCGCTAAGTTGTCACTTTTTTGGAGATTTTGATGGGTGTTTTATCTGTTTTAGAATAATGCAGATAGAAATGAAGATAATCCATCAACAGTTACTCTGTTGCAAGTAGATAATACTAAATTAGTTGAGAGTATAGTGACACAGTCACCTCATGTCAACAAACCTTCACCAGTCGTTCATTCAGAAGAAAATTTGTTCCATTCTCAAGGCTCCGAGCTCTCCAATTCTCCAGCAAAAGGTGAAGACAAGACCCTCGATTCTGCGAAGGCACCACCACGTGGGAGAACTCCCAGCAATGTTAAAAAAGTAATAAGTGCCTTTGAAAGTAGCCTAACTCAGGTATATTCTCGGTAATGCTTTATAATATTTACATGATTCCAATTTCCACCGGCTGATTGCTTCACTTCACTATTGGTTGAATAAAATTTTGGTTTTTACATCAGGATACAAAACCCCGCATTAAACCTACCATAAGAAATACTCAACATGTAGTAGAAAAGCAGCCATCTCTGGAAGTTGTGCAGTCAAAGAAAGCCACTGAGGAACAGAAACGTAAAGTCATTGAGGCTTTAGATGGGACTAGATTATCTGAGGACCCTAGGCAATCACGAAAGTTGAAGGGGAAAATAAATCAAATTGGGGGAGAAAATCTGAGTGAAAAGGATAAATTCCACAAGGAGTATGATGATAACAATGCAACGAATGATGAAACTTATCAAAAGTTGCCAAACACAACCAAATGGGAGAGAGATACAGATTCAGAGAGAGTGATGGATGCACAGCAACCATCTACGTCGATGGATGAGAAGCCAGTGTACGATAGAAATTCAATAACAGGTGAAAGTAAAATGCAAGGACCCGCCCGAAATTCGCAAGAAGTCAATACTACAGGTACTTCGGCCAAGGAAGTTGAATCAGTGTCACGTGTGAAGGATGAGAAACACCGTTCCAAAAGGTCTGGTGGCTGGATATTTCCAGATGAAGGAAGGCGGCTGTGTGTCACAACAGGTGGTAATCAGATGCTAGATATGGTGGGAGGTCGCACTAGTTATACATTTGTGCGTAAAGGAGAGATGAAGATTTCCATGGAAGAGGTAATTCTGGTTTGAACCGCATTATTTCTACTTGGTTTCTTAAAAGCACGTACAGCTGATTCTTTATTTTAAAATTCATTTGATCTTAATGAAGGAACTTAAATTTCTTGTCAATCGAGGGATCTAAGCAACTTGAATTTCTCGAAAATCTTAAACACTAGGAACGTGCTATAAAACGACAGCCATACTCTAAGTAAAGTTCATGCACCCATTATATGATGTATAAACGGCGTGAACAACATCTTCACTCTTTAATTGGTTAAGGCCTTGAGTATTTTGTTGTATGCTCGAGTGTGCTATGAAGTGAGAGTTATGTGATAGTGGTTTCTTTCCTTTATACCATGCAAGGTTAAGATGATACCGTACTAATAGTATCTTGCTACTCACATACAATGGATGTACCTACGCTTGCGTCTGCAGAATAGAAGTACCTCGGAAACGAAGGCGAATGGGGGCAAGCATAATTACCAGAAAATGATCAAACCAGAGAGTTCGGATGATGTAAAACCTTCCGAAGGACCACTTGCCAATGTAAAATTCTTATCCTCTTTGTGGCATATTTAGATTTTTATCATCTAAAGTGAGATTAATGACTGATTATAATGGAATAAAGAGTTCAATCTTACATGTTTTGTCATTGTGTTGCACTGAGAATAACAAAATTATTGATGTTTTGCTAACTCAAATTATCTTGTTTAGGCCTTGAAAGTTGCAATAATGATTGGGTTCGGGACTCTCGTTCTCCTTACCAGACAAAAGAAAAAGAAGGTACGGGATAACTTCTCAACCTATCATTTGAATCTTGTTTTTGTTCCATTCTATGCCTGAACCTTCACTTTCCCCAGCCTTGCAAGTAGGCTAATGCATTAACCCATCTTCAAAGAGAGAGAAAAACAGAAACTGCCCGATTCTGTCTCTTGTAAACCTGTTATTTGTTATCTTCCACCATGAATTCCATATCTCTCCCTCCTTCCCAAAATGAAAAACAGGATACATGCACATCACAAATTCAGTCGGTTAATGAAAATAACAAAACTTTTTATATTACTTCAAGTATGAAGCTCTGCTTACACAGCATCATAATTTTTCACGAAAAGCATCAATATGGTGAAGTCTGATGAATATAGATTTATCATTTATTCATGGCCTTGCAGAAATAACCCGTTGGGTGAAGGATCTACACCAATGGTCTTCGAGGGATGGAAGCTATTACTTCCACAAATTCCAATCCATCTTTATTTTCTCATTCCTTTTCTTTTCTTGACCACATATGCCTATTAACAAATTTTTGGTCTTCAATACAGATACTGTGTCATTAATGTATTTGTAATTTCTTTCTTCACTACCCAATTGTATAAATTTTCGTCTTACATTAGTGAATCCACTTTTATATTTTGATGTTCCTCAACTTCGTTGAGAAAACAACACAGCAACCACTCATTTCAAGTTGATTCTCTATGAACTGTTAATTCATAAACGAACCTCGATAGTCATGAGTCGTGAGAACACGTTCTTCAAACATAAACCTCTGTGTTCCTAGATAGCAGTTCTGCTTCTGCAGGTGTTGTATGTTCCAAATAATGCCATGTTAGGTTGGTTGGCTGGCTATGTGTGGTGACGACGAGTTCAGTCTGATCCGACGAAAGTCTCTATCTGAATGTATTCTTCTTCTATCTGCATTATCAGGTCTGTGAGAAGTCCTCGTGTTTGAGGCAGTTTGATGTCTTGTGTTTAGAGTGGTGAGGGAGGTAGCTCTTCACTTACTTTTGGATTCTGTTGTCTTCTACACCACTATCATGTTAACTGCCTTAAATCTTTGCAGCCTTACGGGAACTTTAGCCCCAACCTATTTTTCGCGCCGCTTCGTCGGACCTTTGGTGGGGTTCTTTAATTTTGACTTTTATTCTTACATTTTTTGCATTAATCAACTGAACTATGTTTTGGTTTCCTATCGTGTTTTATACTAAATATTTGAATTTAAATTATTTGTGGTTTATGATTGAGAGGTTATGAGGTTGATCCTCTACCCTACTTATTATACTAAGAAAAATTAATTATTTGATTTTTGTTAAGTTGTAAACTTCTTTCATATATGCGAAAATATATATTTTATGTAAATGCTTTCTTCCGTTTTTTTCCTTTTTTATAATGGTTGAGTTAATGACAGTTGAATCTCAACTAATTGTTGCATACTTAATTAGGTAGTAATTAAATTTAGAGTATTGGCATAAATAGCATAAAATTATTTTTAAATATAGTAAAAATTTTAAAATTTTATATATAAAGAAAAAAGAAATAACAATAAAAATGCCATAATCCATGTAAAACTCCAATTCAAATATATTATAGAAGTTAGAACATAATAAGAAGAGTCTATCTTTCTAAAAAAGAAAAGTTGTGATATTGTAATGAACATATTAAAATTAAAGATAAAACTTTATTTCTAACGAGCTAAAATTTAAAATGATATCTGAAAGAAAATTTTAACAGTTTAATTTGGTGGGGGGAAGAAACCCTAGATGAATTAAGACGGTGATATCGTGCGGGGCGGGGGGTAAAATCGGAAAACAGAAAGTTTAGCGTCGTGGTTCCGCGAGGCGAGGCCATCTATAAATTCGCGTTCCTGTGGAGCGAGATGAAATCGCAGCGCGGTTGCTCCGCCCCGGCGCCGTTACCGCGCTGCGCTCATTAGTTTAAGAATGAGGCTTTGCTCTCGGAGATGGAGGTGGAGGATCCCTCCGCTCCGCTCCGAATGCTTGTAGAGCCCATGATTTCTACGCCTCTACACTCTCATCACTCTCTCTCTCTTCATCTTCTTCTTCTTCTTCTTCTTCTTCGTAAGACCTAATGTGTGGGCGGTGATGATTGATCATAAAGTCTAGTACCAGATATGGAGTCGTCGAGCTGTGATCGTTCGTCAGGCGAGGCGACCACCAGGGAGGACTCTTCGCCGGTGGTCGCAGCCACGAATCGACGCACCTCCCCCTCTGTTTCTGACAAAAGGCGAATCTGAGCCTTCCATCCTCTTCGCTCTTCGCTCTCCGCGAATGCGTTCTTTTTCATCGCTTCCATGTTATCTCTCCCTCTCTCAATTTATTATTGGGATTTGAACCGACGACCTCTTAACAGTGACCTATTTTCAGTCGACGATGGTTTCGTTCTCTTTTAGGGTTTGTTATCTGTTCGTTGTTTAAGTTGCATGATTGCTTCTGCTTTTTTTTTTTGCCAGATTCGAGGAAAATCTAACATTCTTCCTTCGCTTGCTGATGTTGAACAATGTGATTGATTGCATACTCTCTTCTCGTCTCGAAAGGCCTTCTTCGGCTTAGCCGTTGGTTTCTACGGCGAGTGCGAGACTTGAAAAAGAGACTTCGATGTGTTTCTATGTTCTTATTGGTCATGAGATTGGTCAACAGGTATGATAAATTGACTTAGGTGATGATAATTAAGAGAGCGAACTGGGTTCATATGTAGTTGTTTTGTCTATCATTGGGTAAGAATAATGAGTTAATTTGTATATGTTAAGAATGAAGATAATTTATGAACAATTACCCTGTATTTTCCTTGGTCAATTGTTTTCTTGGTGCGCGACTCTGAAAATATATCAGTAGTAAGAGAATATTGATACATGGGTTTTAATCCCACCCCAAGCTCAGTGGAACTTGCCCAATCGCCACAGTATAAGTTTACCTGCACCAGCACAACCATTCATTCATGACCCTGTTTCTACATTGAAATTTCATAGAAAAGTATTCAAATACTAAACATCCTATGGAAAACTCAAGTCCTATCTTGGCCTGTATCAAGATGAAGGAAGAGAAACTCAATTTTATCGAGGCTTTAGATGGGATGATTTTATGAGGCTTAGCTAATCACTAAAGTTGGAGTGAAAAAAGAAACAAGCTGGAGGAGAAAACTTGAGTAAAGTTATAATCAGTAAAGAGCTTGATAACATAGACGCAAAGAATGATAAATCTTGTAAAAACATTGATGACAGCCAGAGTGGGAATCAGGTGATAATCAGATGCTAGATCTGGTGGGAGGTCACAGACTCACAGTTATGCATTTGTCCATGAAGGGGAAATGAAGGTTTCCATTGAAGAGGTAATTCTGGTCTAAACAGCTTTTGTTCTACTTTCTTAAAACTAGTTATATATTCATTTGATCTCAATGAAGCAACTTGAACTTGGCAATTGAGGGATCCAAGCAACTTAAACTTCTTGACAGTCTTGAAAGTGAGTCTCTTCATTTTTAGTTCTTCTTGATAATAAGCCATACTCTAGTTAATCCATGCACCGTTATATGATGTATGCATAGCATGAACTACTACTATCTAATTGGCCAATGCATGATTATTAGACTATGCACTTATATATGCAGAATCGAGATACCTCTGAAACCAATGCAAGTTGGATATCATCAACGAGAAAATGATCAAACCACAGAGAATTCTGATGAAATTTTTTCTCAAGAACCACTTGCCGATGTAATTTCATCCTCTACAAGCCATCATCATCAATGAGCATTATAGTGGAATCGGTGTTCAATCTTTTACATGTTCTGTCATTTTTTAATTTTTAATTAACTAAACTATCATGTTTTGCACTTTCAAATCCTCTTTTTAGGTCTGAAAGTTGCAATAATTATTGGGATGGGACTCTTATTCTCCTTGCTAGATAAAAGGGTAGAAGAAGGTACAACATAACTTTTAACCTATGGTTTGATTCATGCGTTTGTCCATTCCATGTCTGTCTGGATTTTTACTTTCCTTAGCCTTGCAAGCAACCAATGCATTAACACTTCCGAAAAGAGGACAAGCAAGACTGAATAATGTATATTTTCTCAGGGAAATCTTTGGTAGCCCGATTCTGTCCTTGTATACCAGTTATTTATTATCTTCCACCACAAATTCCGTACATTTCTCCCCTTCCCTAATGAAAAATGGGATTCATACAACCAAGGATGCATTTCTGCTTGCATGGCACCATAATTTGACATGAAAAGAATGCATGTACATTAATCTGCCTAGTTTGAATCAGATGGATTTTGATTCATGCCCTTATATTCAATGGATGGAAGCTGTCACTTCCTCAAATTGCAATCCGGTTTACTTCCCCCACTCTATTTTCTTACAACCACATATGCATGTAGCAAAATTTAATCCTTCATACAGAGTGTGTCATTAATGTAGCGAGCAATTTTTTCACCATGCAATTGTAAATGTTTTTGCCTTGGTTTAGTAAATATTGCATGTGGTTGTATGTTTCAAATAATGCCATGTTAAGTTGGCTTGGCCACATGTTGGCAAAGACAGGTTCATTCTCATACAACATTCATTTCGTTGCTGTTTGGTAGGTCCTTTGCTTAATGTGTTGCTCTTCTGTCTGCATTATCAGGTCTCTGTTAGAAGTATTCTTGTTTGATGTGCTTCCATTTGGACAACTCTGATCTCTTTTAGACTCCTATGCTTCGGCATTGTTTCATGGTTTAACTACTTTTCCTTCTTTTCAAACGCTATGTTTGGCAGAGTAATGAAATCTGTAATGCTTATCTAGATTTTGGTGTGGCTAATGGAAGGCTCAATTGACTAATGGTATTTGATTTTAAGTTTCCATTTAGATTCTGGATTTTGCCACCGACCCTGTTTTGAGATATAGAAGGGAATTTTTTTATTTTCAAAAAGTGAGCGCCTTTATTGAGATAATTCACTTGTGAATCTCGATATTATTTTAATTAATAATGTTCTTTTCACTTCCATCAAGATTAATATTGATGATTGATTAATTATATTTTTTTATGTTTATATACAGCTTGGAATCAATTGATGACACCGAACATTTAGATACGTTTGACATCAATGGTAAGATGTGCAAAAAAAATGGGTAGTTGAAACTTCTTGAGAACCAAGAATAGATTATTCTTTTTTAATAAACTATAGATGAGAATATTTTGGAAAACATGACGTGGAATCTTTAAAGGAAATATCTTTCACTCATTACTAATTTACCTTTCAAATAAAGATAAACGAACACCATATAAGGACGAAAATAGATTCTACAGATGAAAAAATAACATTAGATAACAAAAGAACAAAAAATAGATTTGTAATGTCTCAAAAGGAGAGAGAGCTCCTGAATCCCTTAAATTAATTAATGTTACAAAAGCTCTATCAGATAGACACTAAACTAATTAAATTTATATTATTGTGTCACCCAACCACTATTACAAAGTGCTATTACTTTCGATTCAAGTCTATGGTTGATACCTTACGTCATAGAAAAGAGCTACAGAAAAATCGACCAGCACCATATGAGCAGACAGATGGCTAACAACCTTGTTAAAATAGTTCATGAACCAACCGGTTTTCCGTTTAATCGAGGAAAAGGATCTTGTTTGCTCACCACTGCAACTTTACTCTTGTGAGCGAAGTACCCCTTCACGAGATTCTTGTTTATTAGAATGGCCATTATGCACTCTACCTGCAAATTTAACAGCAGTATGAGACCGACACCAGTGGGGTGGGGTGTCAACTATCAAACATGAGAGATGGAGAAACGAATACCTCATCGACATCCATGTCTACTTCCAACCATTGTAAAGCTTTTACAATTACTTCTAATTTTATCTGGTGGGCTTTGTTTGGATCCTTCTGCCTTTGTATAAAGTAGCTGGAGAGAATGTAAAGAATTAGAAATAATGAACAAATAATCAGCAGCAGCAGGAGGCGCCTATTGAGCCCGTGGATTCATCTGAGCTATTAATCAATTATCAGGCAACAAAGTACATGAACGTTGAGCTTACACTTTCTTCACCAATCTTTGGTAAACTTGAAGTTCCAACTTCTCTAAGACAAGATACACCCCTGATCTTAAGAACCTGCAAGAACAAAGAAAACTCTGAGTTTTACATCCTTGGCCAAAATCTCTCGCACAAGAAGATTTGAAAAGATAGGTTTACCGATCTTCATGCTCTTGTAAAGCTTGTCGCAGAAGCCTTGGATCACCTCTTTTAAGAGCTTGCACAACATTTGCATACTGTGAGTAAAAACATGATGGTTTCTTTTTTAGATGGTGCACATGCAAAAACCAACCATGCAAAATATAGATATGACGCATAAATAGCATTATGTTCCAGAAAGCTTTCACTAAGAGAGTGAAGACAGTAAACATTTGTAAAAACATGCCGTACCTCAGAAAGGTTATACTTCCCGAGAAGTGAATTTGTTGGTAAGATGCCCATAGAAAGCTTCACAGGTATGAGATACTTTAATATCATTCTGTTTCAAAATTAATGCGACTTAGGTAAGACTTCCTTCACTTTCACATCCTAAACAGAACTATTCAAAAGGTAACTTGATAGTAGACAACCAAATGCATCTAAACAACTATACATAAAATCTAAAATGGTGAGCCCATACAAATAAGAATATTTAAACAGACATGGAATATTAAACAGGCATGGTTGTAAGCTATAGTATAAAGCTCTAATAAGAAGAGGGGTATTTATGTTTGTCAAATTCTCAAGGAATAAATGTACGTATTTGAAACCCATCCAGCCAAAAATAGTAAAATAAAATGGTATGTCTTTCTTTTGTTTTTTCTAAAATTTTTTTTGGGAGGTTGGGGTAAGAAACAACTCCATTGAAAAAGCAAGGGGAAGATCTCCTGTATCAGTATCCCCAAAAAGTCTCATAAAACCCAGGTACCAATTGAAAGTTGCATAATTCAAAAAATCATTAATCTATGGAAAGGTCTGATAGGTTAAGAGATAAAGGTAGGCAGTAGCAATCGCGGTCTAGGCCAATCCAAAAGAACTCCTAAAAAGTTGGTAGGATGTCCATAGCTGACTTTAACCTCGATTCTCTAGTACATAAAGTCCCTTTGTTTGAGGATATTTTTAGGGGAAGAAAGAGAGAGAGAGAGTGTGTGTTTCAGAAAGTCTCTTGTAAATAAAGTCCCTTTGTTTCAGAGGAAGAAAGAGAGAATGTCTCAGCTAAAAATCAAAGTGAAAGGTACCATATTCAACATTTGGCTGCAATGGCTTTCCTCCAAAGGGCCAACTTCTAGATAGAGAATCTCGATTTTCATTTTGCAAGAGGGTGGTTCCTCATTTTGATGTTGCTACTATCGAAACTCCCTTTCTAATAGTGCTTTGGACCTTCTTCCAAGTTCCAATTAATCAAAAGGGATAACAACCTTAGGTCCTACATCGTCCTATAGGAAGTCTCTAAAAAGCCTCTTCAAAGCGTTTGCCACTTTATTGGGCAAAGTTAATAGAGATATATACTATGAGGGCCAGTGGGAAAATTGGTAAAAGTTGATGAACAAGAGTAAGATAACCATCCTTTGATATTGAGTTATTCCATTTGTGGAGTTTCCTCTCTATGCTTTCAATAATAGAGCCAAAAGGTGTAAGAGTGATGATTACCATTTAGAGGAAATCCTCAATAAGAGCTAGTGGTGTTGCAAGCTTACATACGATGGGAGAAAAGTCCACTAAAATATTAGTGAAAAGGAATGGGGGGAGTTCACCCTGTCACAAGCCCCTTGTAGAGAGAATCTTTCCTCTAATATTCTTACAAGAAGATGCATGAGCCGTTAATTATCATTTGGGAAAATATTAAACATTCAACCCCCCCAACCCCCTAAAAAGAAAAAAGAAAAAAACAGTAATCCTGATCCATCCATAATTGTCTAGGAAAATGCAAATTATATGCAGCAAGCACACCTGAGTCAAACCTTATATTAGCCTCTCTTTGAGGGTTGCAATGCATTAAGGCGTATGACAACTTCTGATCAGCCTGCTCACAGAAGGGATTCGGTAAAAGGGGTTAAGAAAGAAGGAAAGAGGCTTCACGTATTATTTACAAATCACAAGTATACATAGTAAGGATAAATGACATGCTAGAAAGATTGGCAACAATCAGAGTGAAAAATTCATGCAGATACAGTTGCATTAATCAAGAATTACTCACGGCAGGGAAATTCTCGTTGAAAACCTCCAGACGGCCTGTATAATACATGTAGGTCACCTGTATGTATAACACATATACTTTAGTCAGATTTTATAAAATAAACTATTATGGTCATATCATCCTTCACAGAAGGATGAGGGCAATTCAGGGGGAAAATGTAAGCAACCAAAATCAATTCTGACCCTGTCTCTTTTAGGAAACTCCTCAAAGTCAAATATTCTAGCTGTTTCAATGCTCCTTATCACACTACGGCATAGGTGCACAGTACCAAGCTGCAATCAGATTTGTTACTTCACCGTTATGTAACTAGATAAAGAAAAGTAAGCTAAGCGTCTAATAATGATTTCTACAAAAGTGGCAATAAGTCCTGTGTTTCAATCTATACTAAACAGAAACATTCTTCAATTACGGTTTTATAATTTCCATCATATCAACATTGTGGCAAGATAACATTGTTACAGAGATATACGGCAGGTTGAATCTATTCATCATTGACTCAAATAAAATGGATAACGTGCACTATGACAAATTAAGGTTTTTATTTTTTTCAAAAATCAAAATCATTATCTTGCAATCATGCTCTCAGCTTTTAGACCAGATACCATCTAATGCTAACCAATGAGAAAAAGCATATCAAACGAGTGTGAAGATTACAGTTTTTGACTTCAGAATTCAATATATTCAACACATTTGTTACCTTAAAGTATATCTTGAACAATTGACATGTCACATACAGTGCTCCAACACGTTTAGGGCCTTTTCCCTAAAATACAATCAAGAAAATTTTGCGTAAGCAAGAAGAATCACAAATCTAAAGCATTGCATAATACTTGATAATTCATTCTAAATAACATGATGTCAACTAACTATATGGTCCATGTTACCTACCATAAAATAAATTGTTTACTAGTTTAAAAAGGGGGAAATACCTCTCCAGCATAAACTTGCTGAAAGACATTGCTCTAACTTTGGTCTGTGATAGTTAGGAAATCCGGAAAATGAAATAGAAACTATTTGTGGTTGGTTAATCTTGCCACACTAACATGTCCAGAGAAACCAAGAATAACTAAACTTAAACACAAATGCTAATCCAATTTTACTAATGTTTAATCATTACTAATCCCAAAATTTCAAGGTTCAGGCTAATATGAATTTCATCATTTAAGTATTCTTAATACAGTCTCTCACATGTGGTCCAACGTTCAAACAGACATTGATAGGCAATACCATTTCCATTAATAGGTCAAACAGACACTTGAAATGGGAAACAATTATTTGATCAAGGGATCTAATGTTGTAAAACTGATGAAAGTGCTCAATCCATCGTCTCGAGCTGTATATGGGAGGACGCGCATCCAAAATTCAGTTTGAAGAAAAATGTTTTTGTTCACATGGAAATTTTAGAAGTGAAAAATCGGTCATTTTGAAATAAATAACGTAGTAGAAGTATCATAAACATGTCTGCGAGAAAAAAATTGTTTGAACAAAGAAACATACGGCAAGAACCCCAAACACTTTCATAAGAAACGAACCAGCTCCTTTCAACTTTTCTGGCGATTTTCCATTGGAAGCCAGCTCTCTGTCAGCCTGCAGATACAGAAGCCTAATTTATCACTTAAAAACGAATAAAATTCTAAATAAGACCCGAGATCATACCCTCTCTGCAATAATCCTAATCTCGTAAGCAACTACATACAGTGCCTCCAACGCCCAAGCTGAATCCCAAGTCCGAAATTCCTGAGTGAAAGCGCTGGAAAGTTCCACCATTAAAAGCACAATTACACGATTTCAAACTAAAACTAAAGTACCAATCAAGCACAACCGAACCAACTCGGACTGCATTCAATAGTATACATAAACAAGTCCATTAAAATAGAATGGAGGGAGAGAAAAATACTTGGCGGACTTCTCAAAAGCTTGATAAGCATCAAGCAAATTTCCAATACGGTAACTCTGCAGTGCGCGAAAGAAATTCACCAAAATTTCTCCGAACTGAGAATATCTATCAGACTGTCTGATCAATCTATTGGCATCCTGTCAAAAACCAATCCGCAAACTTACAGTTCACCGACGATTAACTGCTGTTGTTAACTTGAGAGAAAGAAAGAGAGAGGACCTGGAAAACATTGAGAGAGTCGGCGAGAGCGAGAAGATTGGGGGAATTGGAGGAGAGGGATAGGAGAGACTTGAGGGAAGCTCCATCTTGAGACGCAACAGAGTCTGAAAAGCGACTGAGATACTCTGTGATTCTTCTATGTGCCTCGCCCATGCTCAGGTACGCCATTGCCCTCCCTCTGCTGCAACTCTCCCAGCGATTCTCCCGACCCCTGCTGCTCCTTGCCTCTCATCCTTCCTTTTCTGGGCCTAGTTTATTGGATCGGCCCAATTTGGATGTTGCACTAATTTTCTTCGACCAAGCCCACGATAAATCTAGTCTCGTAAAAATATATTTATATAATATTAATAAAATTAAATTTGACTAAATCAATCAATAGCAAAGCAATACTAAAAATAAATAAATGTTTTGTTCGTTAATCTCTCCTGCCGATTACTTACAGCTTCCGCTTCTGGCTCTGGTAAGTTGTTGGTAACACAGCCCATACGCCATAGCCATACCTTATACCTAACCGTTTGAAGGTAACACTTTCGTAACTGCTGCTGCTGACAATAACCCTTCACCATCGTCATCCTGATATTCTTAATTCCGCTACAACTGGAACAAGACCAAAGTGTAGGACCTGGTTTTTCCGATATGGCTCCCGAGTCTAAGCCGGCGCCGTCAAAGCAAATTCCGGCGACGGATCAGGAACAAGACTCCTCCAGCCCTTCCACCGCTTTGCTCTCTTTCGACACCGATGCCTATTCTTCAGATCCGTCTCACAAAACCAGCATTCTCGTCGTCTCCCTTATTCTCGTTACTTGCATCGCCCTCTCCGCCGCCGCCGCCTTTGCATTTCTCTTCTTCTCCGCCGCCTCCGGCGTCAATTCCACCGCCCGCTCCCTCTCCAAGCTGAAACATCCGGTGGTTCTATTGATCTCCTCCGATGGGTTTCGATTTGGGTATCAATTCAAGACCTCGACCCCCAACATTGACCGTCTGATCGCGAACGGAACCGAGGCCGAACGGGGTCTGATTCCCGTTTTTCCGACATTAACGTTTCCCAACCATTACTCGATCGTCACTGGCCTTTACCCGGCATATCACGGCATAATCAACAACCATTTTCTCGATCCGGTGACCGGAGACGCCTTCACGATGGCCAATCACGACTCTAAGTGGTGGCTCGGCGAGCCGCTGTGGGAGACGGTGGCGAATCAAGGGCTCAGGGCGGCGACGGTCTTCTGGGTCGGCGCTGAGGTAACCAAAGGCTCGTGGTCTTGCCCTGTAGGGTTTTGTTATCATTATAATGGTTCAGTTCCATTTGAGGAACGAGTGGATGCGATTCTGCACTATTTTGACTTGCCCAGTGAGGAAATTCCTGTGTTTATGACTCTGTATTTTGAGGACCCGGATCATCAGGGCCACAAGGTTGGGCCTGATGATCCCCAAATCACTGACGCTGTAGCTAGAATTGATCGGATGCTTGGGAAGCTCATTTCTGGCTTAGAAGAAAGAGGGGTTTTTGAGGATGTTAGCATAATCTTGGTAGGGGATCATGGGATGGTTGGGACTTGTGATAAGAAGCTGATTATTCTTGAGGATTTGGCTCCATGGATTGTGATTCCAGAAAGTTGGGTTCAATCAACAACTCCTCTTCTGGCAATTCGTCCACCTCCTGATGTTTCACCTTCTGATGTTGTTATGAAAATGAATGAAGCTTTGCAATCTGGGAAAGTTGAGAATGGGAAGAAGTTGAAATTGTATGTCAAGGAAGAGCTTCCATCTCGGCTTCATTACAGTGCCAGCGATCGAATCCCGCCAGTGATCGGATTGCTCGAAGAGGGATTCAAGGTGGAGATGAAGAGGAGTAATAAGAAGGAGTGTGGAGGCGCTCATGGGTATGACAATGCCATATTTTCCATGAGAACCATCTTCGTTGGCCACGGTCCACAGTTTGCAAAGGGCAGGAAGGTTCCATCTTTTGAAAATGTTCAGATTTACAACTTGGTTACTTCAATTCTCAACATTAAACCTGCTCCTAACAATGGTTCTGCATCTTTTCCCAAATCTATTCTCCTGCATTCTGCATAGAATCCTAGTACATCATTGCCACGTTTTACGAGCTGCTGAAAAGAGAACCTCGACGAGTTGGACGTACAATCATATTGCTTTATTTCGAACGTCACCAAGGTAGATGTTCACGTTCTCGAGAATTTGTTGACCTCGATCTACATTGTAGAAAAAACATTATTTTTGTCTGGGATGGATTGCTCATGATCAGTTCTTGTTGTGGGCACAAATCCATCCGTTGCCAGTGGCTTCTAGCACTTGTTTATATGTTTCTGTATGGTAATCCTGCGAGATTGATTACATTGTGGTGATCGGTGTAGAATAAGAGCTTGCAGTCTCTATAGATCATGTTCTTATACATGTTCTTCTTCATCTGCAGGGTTGTCATGTTAAAAAACTCTGATCAGTTGGCAGATATCTAAGATAATTCCTATCTTAATCTCCCTGTTTATAGTCTTGTCCTCTTGAATCCCATCTTGTCTTTCCGTCGCATCTGATCACAGTGGTTCTTATAGCTAGCTTTTGATGATGCCATGGCATGTTTCCTTGGACATGTCTTTTTTTGGATTCCTTGGTGATTTTTCCTACTTGGCTTTTCATCTGTTTTTCCCCCTCCCCATCGAGCAGGATTTAATATCAAAAATCCAGATGCTAATAAGTTGTCATTTGATAAAAAATAACTTTTTAGTTTACTATATTTTAAAAATAATGCTTTTTTTGTGTAATATTAAATTTTTCACTACTTGAAAACAACATAGCCAAATTTCAAAAATAAAATTTAGCCTTGAATTTTATAATGTTTATGAAAAGTAATTGTATAACAAAGTAAAGGAATGGGTGATAGTTGTGTTTCTCAACTTAATTTTTAATAATAAAAAATAGAAAACGAATTAGGAAAGGCAAAGGTTTATAGGTCACGAAAATATTGTTAAAAATATGAATATTGATCTATATTCTTATAAAAATTGTGAAATTTTCTACTGAAAAGTGACAATTGTAAATAAAATCTTCTTTCGGTATGAAAGGGTTAATGCAAATATAACATTTTAAAAAAATGCAAATACAGCTTTCGTTGAAAAATTTATAATTACTCAGATAACAGGAATCATTTTGAATTTGACCGTCTTTAATATTATTATTATTATTATTTCATGTTTAATTTATGTGGGGGAGGAAAAGTTGGAAAGTAACCGAATAAGAATATGGGCAAAACGACTGAGCAGAGGATGGCCACGTAAATCCATGCACCATCACTGGTAAGGAAACAGATCACCCAGCACCCACCACTGCAGAAACGGCGCCGTTCTCGGATTGCCCGTCGAACTCAATCTTCTATAGTGACGTGTTAAGCCTAAATTGGGAAAGAAAAAGAAAATGGCCAATCGAATTGGCCTCAATTTCCCCCGGCGGGTACCGGTTCTGACGGGCGGTCCCTCCGCCGTATGGTCCGCGAATAGGGCGGCGGAAAGCCTCAAGCGGTGGAGCTCCGGAGGAAAACCGCGGCGGCGTTTGATATTAGGCCTCGGAATTTCCTTCTGGGTACAGTTCCTAAATATGTCCGGTTCACTCGGCCCCGCCAAATCCTTCATTGCCTCTGCCAGGCAGAGAAATGCTGTCGAAGAGGTAATTTACAGAGCCCCAACTTCAATTTTCTTGTTTCCAAATGGAAGAACACTTAGCACTATGAGGATCCTTCAGAATTTGAGTGATAGGAAGAGATAATTTGTCTGATTCGCTCTGTGTCTAAAGATTTTGAAGAACGTGGAGTGGCCAGAGCAATTTCCCTTCAGGGACGAGGACTTCCAGCGCTTTGACGAGTATGAACTCTCAAATTTTTCCTTTCATTATTCTTCTTCAACCTTTTCTTTTCACTCGCTCTAGATTTGGAGTTACATCAGATGTTGATGAACATACAACGATTTCTCAGGACACCGGATTCGTTCTTCTATGAATCCCCACGCTTTGTCACCCACATTGATGATCCAGCCATTGCTGCACTCACCAAATTCTACTCGGAGGTATTTCCCCCAAGCAATACACCTGGAGTTAGCATTTTGGATATGTGCAGCAGTTGGGTAAGCCCATTTCTGGGAGTTTGAAAATTTTTCTTCACGAATCATGTAGAAAGAGAAGTTTGATAATCTCCCCCTTTTGGGTTTTATGTGTAGGTCAGTCATTTTCCAGCAGGATACAAGCAAGAAAGAGTAGTTGGGATGGGAATGAACGAGGAAGAGCTCAAGCGCAATCCGGTTTTTCGACTCTTCTTAACGCCTGAATAATCTATAATCAGATCATTGTTGAATTACCCACAGGATTCATGTTTCCTGCAATTTTTGTTCATTCAGGTTCTGACAGAGTACATAGTGCAAGACTTGAATCTGAATCCTAAACTCCCGCTTGACGATAATTCCTTTGATGTGATCACGAACGTCGTATGTTCGAGCTCTGATACAGCTACTCATGGTTATTTTTTCAACAATCTTTTTTCAACAATTCTCAACAACTTGTCTTGCAGGTCAGTGTCGATTATCTCACCAAACCTCTATGCGTCTTCAAGGAAATGAGCCGAGTTCTTAAACCTGGTGGACTTGCCATAATGAGGTGAGGTTATTATACAAGCCTAAGATCCATCCCGTGTTGAATGATGGGATGGGTCTTCACAGTCTCGAAGTATTCTAACTTCATTGTTTACTCAGCTTTTCGAACCGTTGCTTTTTCACAAAAGCGATATCTATATGGACATCGACTGGAGATGCAGACCACATTATGATTGTTGGGTCGTATTTCCGCTACGCCGGTGGATTTGAACCTCCTGAGGTATGGGAAACCCTTTGATTCTTTAGCCAACCATAGGTCAATGCTTAAGAATTACACATTGAGATACCTTCTTCACTTCTCTTCAGGCTGTGGATATATCTCCTAACCCCGGACGTTCTGATCCCATGTACATTGTATACTCGAGAAAGTTATCGACAGCTTGAACGTACAACGAGGAAGATGATCTGACAACTGAACTGAATGCAATTTGTTCCTGCAGCCAGTTAAATGTGCTAGTTTTCGAGAACCGATTCCAGAATCTGCAGTTTGAACTGCATATTTACATGTAACCAAGCTTCAAACAAGAATCTTTAGATATTTGAGATGCTATGATCACTGGACTTTTATTCTTATCTGAGGCAAAGCAAATTAAAAAATATTTATATTAACCAATTCCAGAACTTGGTTCTGCTATCATAGAACTTGAACTCTACACAGCCTGGGACTTCTAGATATGAAAAGAACAAAGGAATATACACGGGTGACATAAAGACGTCCTAATAAGAGAGGATAAGGAATAAAGAACCGACAAAAACAAGGTTGTGTTTGGGGATACAAACAAGATCAGATCCATCCCTGTTTGTAACGACGAAAGAGGTCCTCGGTCTGTGCGTTCTTGAAGGCACTGCAGCCGATTACATAGACGCAAATCAGAACCACCACGGTGACAATGAGAACCACATTTGCTCTCCTCCATTCTTTTCTGAGATTCCCCAGGAGACCAGCTTTGCAAGAGTTGCAATTGTAGCACAACTGGGTCTGGTCATTGCTCCAAAGATAGCAGTCTGGGTCAGCCATTGGGTCACCAGGGTTCAGCCACAGTGTTGGGTTCACAAAGTTATACCCACAGGCTGTTGGAGGTTTACAGCACCCTGACTGTACCACATACACAGTTAAAACCAAGTAAGTTTTAAGTTCCAACTTCAACCCACATTTTCGAACCTACAACTCATAGTAACGCATTTGATTCCTGATCGACATGACGACATGTCTGATCTTCAGCAAAGTAAATGAGGGAAGGGATTCAGACCTACGAATAAACACTAGATGGACGACCAATTAAGTTGGATCTGGCAGAGTCATGAGTGAGTGTAAAAGAGCAAAGTCAGAGTTGGAAAGTCATAACAGAGACCAATTTGTTCTTAAACAATTAGTCATAATGGACTGGTTAGCTGGCACCCATATCAACCATTTTTTGTTGCAATCTTAACCATTTTGAATTTGATTGATTTGGAATCAAAGGGTCCCCAATGAGATCTGAGCTGTCCACTTTATTTTTGAATTATGAAATCTGTAATGGCACTCAATGAAAAGGGGGATTTCTAGATTTTATTAGGCTATACCAAATCACTTCTTTTACAAAATTTACCAAAATTTGGGCCCCTGCTTTGTCCTAGTAAGGCTGTGGTTGGTCACATCCACAACCACCAAAACAAATGTTGAAGAGCCCCACTTTAACCAGGGCTTTAGAAGAAAGTTAGAACTAAAGTTTACAATTAAAAATATGATATTCTGAAAGTTCAAATTTAAGCATACGATATTCTGAAATCAAAATCTAAGCGCTTACACACCTGAAAGTCACATTTTTTAAAATATTCATATTTTTAGATGGAGCCAGAACCAGAAGCGTTAGCTCCAACGAAGTGAACCCAAGAAAAATAAAGAATAGCCCATCTAGATAAGATAAAGTACACCCCTTGATAATGTCTAAAAGTAAGAACTATGGAAAATCTTTTTCTTTCATCCAAACTACATTTCTCAATTGATATGGGTTCTCCTGTTTCATATCTCAGTTTACCTAACTTTACCCATGGGAATGTTCTGATTACTTATAAAATTTGTAGGATTTTTCAGAATTCTAACAAAAGGTGAAACTTTGAATCACACCCCTATTCTCTGCATTTTACACTTTAATTGTTAAATATTTTCAAACGAGTTAGAAATAATGACATAAATTATAGATATAAAGACTCGAGTTTTTACGTCAAGTGTTCAAAATGGTCAACGATATGATTAAATTTTCAAATGAAACTATTGTTTAAAAAAGAATATATTTGGAAAATCATCATTAAATACCGGAGAATTCCTGACCCCAAAAGTCGTTGGGACTTGGGACACCCAATGTCAACAAGTCACATGCTAATGCTGGAGAAAAGATAAGAGATGGGGTGGTTTTATATAATTTTTTTTAATGAGATAATAAATATTTTTAAATTCAAAGGCTTGAAAAACAAAAATCCGAAAATTCTAAATTACAATGTTATTTCTTTTTTCAAAATACGGACAAAAACATGGGAGTGCAATATTCCAGCTGATATGAAATGAGAGCCACCAAACATTTAAAAATAAAAAGATTAAAACAATTTTATTATCTTTTTACTTTTCTTTATTTTTAAACAACCGACCCACGGGGCCAGGATTACGATCCCAAAAGCTAAAACGTGTATTGGAGAAAGCTGCGATCTATTTCTGTAAAAGATGTCTCTAAAATGGCAAGGAATTCTCCTCCTTCAGAAATCTTTAATTCAAACAGAAACCCTTGGAGTATATTCCAAGAAAATACAGAGAGAGAAGATAAAATCATCTTTTTATAAAAGTTTTTGTAAGAAAATAAAGCGATACGCCATGAGTATAGTAAAGTAAAGAAGGAAGGAGCTGACCTGGAGAGGCGAGATGTCCGCCGCGAAAAACTGATCGGCGGCGAAGTATTGCAGATTAAGCTTGGGACAGACATCGGATTCCGCCAAACACGTCCTTATCTTCGGCCAATTTCCGGAATTGGTGAGATGGTTTTTAAGCCAGGATGAGAATCCGTCGAGCCGGAACTCCTTGAATCCCCGGCCCATGACGGTGTAGCTGCCGTCGGGGCGCGTGACGACGAACGTGAAGACAAGCAGGACGAGGAAAAGGCCGATCAGTAGAGCCATACAGAAGAGGTAAAATGCCAAGAGGCCTTGCCTGTTCCAGTACGCGCCGACGAAGCCGGCCAACGAGACGAGGAGGATGAGCACGCCGAGGAGAACCACCGGCCACCGGAAAAAGTGGATGCATCCGTTGTCTGGCTTCGAAGCTAGCCAAATTCCGGCGCCAATTATGGGTATGGAGCAGAGGAAAGCCAGGAAGTTCACAATTGCTGTGATGTTGTTGCTTAAACCCATCCTTGTTTCTTCTTCTCTCTCTCAATTCCAGTCTCTGGGTTGGAATTTTCTTCCCCTTTTTTCTGAGAGGAAATAGAATTCAGAAAGAAAATTGTGGAGGAAGAGGGAATTTGATTTGGAGATAATTGAGCTTCCGGGTGTATATTTGAGTTCACAATTGCTCTTCACCGAGTCTTCCTTCCCCTTCTGGTGTGTGGAAGTTAGAAGATTTTGGTTGGTTGTGTCATGCTTATGAAGGAAAAGCGACTGCGAGTGGAACGACACGTCGTCTCTAGGTGTTATAGCTCATTCCCTGCGACAACTCTCACACTGCCCAAAAAGTTGCAGCGTCCACCCACGTGGCACTATTTTGCCTTTTGATGATCCAGCTTCATTTTTCCTTCAAAAGGATAAATAAAATAAGTGGGAGAATTTCAACCTCAAACGAACAGCATTTTTCAGTTGAATTCCTCTTTTTCTTTACTTTACAGTGTACAGATCACTTTTTTATATTTTAACTTAGTTCCAAATTAATTCGAAGAGAGTTAAAACAATGAGTATGATGGCTTTTGTAATTTGATTCTACGTACCTTATCAAAATTGCCTCTGAGAAAGAGATTGTTCTGGCAGAAGGATAAGTGGTAGTGGGCAGAGCATGAACAAAAGAGACACACTGAGAGCCAGACTCTTCTCTCTGCCTTGTTTTTTAGTTGGAAATTGGAAGTTTATTCGTTCAGCGGGCAACCATGTGCTCAGACTCTCTGACTTTATTCTGGACTTCCCACATCCCAATTTGGCAGTTTTTGGGTTTATTCCTTTTTGCTGCCGACGATTCTCCTTATAAGCTTCCTCCCCGATCTCTTCCACCTTTTGTGATAGCATTCAATTTCTAAGTTCTAACCTACTCTGGGTCATCTCTTTTTATTGTCTCTTTTTGCCTCGAATTCTATTCTCTTGCTTTTCGAGGCGTACAACAGATTTGGCGTGCCAACTTTTATGAATTGGCTGTGCATTGGTTTGCTTCTGAAACAGGCTTCCGATTTGAAAATGCAGAACTGCACTCAATCTGTCTTGCCAGAGTGGGAGTGCATCTCCTCCAAGTTTCTTGCTTGAGCTCCAAGAGCTGCAGATGTGGTGGGCTGCGTTGGACCGATGATGGAACGAGTGAAATGATGCATTTCTTGCCTGCCCTTGGCAAAAGAAATTGTTTCACGGGTTGGAATCACAGATACGATATTTAAAAAACTGGGATCATAGCATAAGTTTATAAATGGAATGTACGGTATGAAACAAGCACTAAAAATGGAGCAAGAGCAGAAAGAGCTTAAAAGGAAATTAAAGAATACCTCCGAAGTCCGACCTATTAATTCTTTGTGTTAGTATCAGCAAATTCTATGCTGTTATTTTATCTTCAAGGCAAACTGAACAATATGCGTAATGGAAATTCTAAGTAATCAAACTTCCTTTTCTATTCTCGGGCATCTTCAAGTTTTTTCCATCAATTTTTTCCTTCAACTTTTCTCCTCTTCGATATTTTCTTCCTTCTTCCTCCTTTTTTTCTCTTCAAATTTTCTTTTCTTCTTTTTTCCTAAATATATAACTTGAAATAGTCGCAACATGTACCAGGTTGTTGCTCAACATTTTGAAATTCTTCTAGACTCGAGGAATCAAGAGGCTCCACATGAAATGCCTGCAACGTCAAGAACATTTGTAAATTGTTCTACAAGTACAGGCAATTTCAGTTTAAATGATGCATTCAATATCATTTTAATTTCAAATTTTCTTTTACTAAACATAGACACCCATTTATGACAAAGAAGCAGCAAAAGAATCATGTGAACGTAAATAAGAGACATAAACTTTGAGAAACAGAAACACTGTTGCATAAAAACTTATTTATTTCGTTAAAAAAAATTTCAAGCTATTAAATTAAAAGTGGAAGAAAATATTAGATAACCTATTTTTTAAAAATTGAAAAAAAAATAATTAAAAGAAAAAAAGACTATTAAATTTCACTGCATAAACAAATTGCATCAACTCACATTTTCCTCAAATGCAAAGGGAAAAAATTGCCTCGGGTATAAATTTGACTTCCATGAGAAAGTGTTGGAATCCATGTCGCCCCAAAGGCATCAAAAATCCATCTTCATACTTGAACAAACATAAATGTGCCCAGTAGGGAAACACCTATTTGCATTGTGAGTAAAAAGGTTAATAAATGTACATAGAGATGTAACAATTAATTTACAGAGGAATAGAATAAGTACCCAATGAAAGTTCATATTCAACCCATTCCATGATCTTTAAATCGATGACAAACATATACGCATCATGCCACCATACTAAGAATTATCAAACTTGATTTATAAATTATTCTTCCACAAATTACTAGCATGCCTCTTTGATTCGTGACACTGAATCCATAGTTCATTGCTTCCAACTTCGTCTTCAATTTCATTCAACTCCAAGTTCACGCTTCTAATGCCGTTGAAGGATGGTGTTGAACGACATTTTAAATCTGTAAGAAAAATAGTAGCTCAAGATGGAACCCCCTCTGAACCCTCGCAACCCCAATGGCTGGCTCTTGAACAAATTGCACCTCTTTTTTTCTGCAAAATCATCCCGCCTACAGAAGGTAATGAAAATAAATAATTTGGTTTGGTTCCGAGCATACCGTTTACAGGTCTTGCAAGGACGCCTGTTTGATCAAGACTTTGCTGTGTGCAAGAAGATTTGAGGCCTAGTTTTGGACACAGTTAAAAATAGGTTAGGAAGGCAGAAGAAGCCGGTTGCAATAAACATTTCGAAGAAAGGGATAATGACATAGAAACAAACCACATCTCTCCTTTGGGGCCATGGCGATGAAATTTCTACTCCAACAACTTTTTTATATAAGATACAGTCAGCTGCGTATTAATAACCACTTGTATAACCTGCAAAGCACATTGGAATGAAGAAGTTGTAGTAGTAAGCAAGAACTCAGACTGGAGAACAGGGGTAAGAGCAGGACATTGGCATTAGTTATGATCAATAATGTAAAACAGAAACGTGAAAAAGTGAAAGTGCAACTTTTAGACAAACATTCCTTGTATGTTAAAAAGAAAAAAAAAAGTTATATTCATACATAATCCTTGTATGTCTGTATCTTTTAGACAACTCATAATAAAAATCAGTTAATTTACCTAATACTTACCGGAACATATAGCAACCCTAAGTGCTCAAAAACATCCCAAAGTGCTCCATCGATATGTCAAGGTTAGAGGTAAGAAGTGATGTGGAGAGGAAAAAAAATGAATGATGTTTTGCTTAGGGGTGTTAAAAAAATTCACACACTTCAAAAATTTTTATCAACCGAACTTCAGATAATCCTAAAGAGTGAGCTTCAGAAAATATGTCAATCCCAGCAGAATAACACTCTCGTCAACAGCTTTGCCTCTCACTTTAGTTCTTGTTTTCGTTTCTACTTCTACCTCTTGCATTGCAAGTACAACTGAACCGCTCCCTCTAATTCATTTCCCCATCTTCTCAAAGCAGAGCATTAACAATATCGACAGACACAAGGCTATTTCACTCAATATAGTCTTAACAAAACGACCATACGAAGGTGGCAGAGAACGCAAAAGAAGTAAAGCTTGATCGTCATCCTCGACTTCCACTCGATCTTCAAGTCAAATCCATAGCTTTGCCGGACACGTCTCATCAACAACTTCAATCAGAATTTCATCCGCTAATGACAATTGTGTAACGCTAAGTGCSTTACTCATAAGAGGCTGCTTTTCGCGATCGCTTAATCCGTCAGACAGAACTTCTTTACCTCTCAATGTCTCGAGTAATCCTTGAGAATCTGATAATGCTCTCACTTCTTCACGCCACAGACGGAAATCATTTCTTCCGTTCAATTTCTTGATCTCACTCATGGCCGCATCCATTAAAAACCCTATTAAGCAGAATGCCAAATTATTAATGCTTAATACCAAACAAGCGAAAGAAAAAGAAAGATTATGAACTTACCA